TCTGTGGTTGTTTGTGGCTGTCTGTGGGTGTCTGTGTGCTGTCTGTGGGTGTCTGTGGGTGTCTGCGGGTGTCTGTGGGTGTCTTCATGTTTTACTATTACCCAAATTTAAGACACTTCTAATTCGCTTGTTAACTGGCAGAGAAAGTACATCTATGTCTCATATTCAACTCCGTTATTGACAGCCCTGTATCTCATAAAGTCGACTGTACTCTTTTCTAAAAAATGGCTCGGCGTATAGTATACCTTGTGTACTTCAAACTGACATAGAAAACGAGGAGGTGTATATTCTAGTTAGTTTTATTTTAATCTGTTAAGTTCACAGAATATAGAGTAATTTTATAGTGAGTGCAGCAAACATTTGGATCAAAAGCAAGAAAAACTTCAAACTTAGAAGCAATATCTATCGTATATCTCATATATCGACGTTATATCATTCTTTTCTGTTCTCTTCTTCTATTTTAGGAAAAAATCTCTGGTTCGCTCTCTATCGTTTCTTACTTTTCTTTTTTCGTTTCTGTGAATAAATCTATCAAATATAGAAAGCGCTTAAAGCGATGAACAATGTGACGGCATCCCTTACGTACACGTAATATGTAAATAAACAGTAAAAGTTAAAAACCACTATTTTCTTCTTGTTATTTGAGACTGCTTAAGCCAATAAAATGCAGAGAAAAATAAAACGTAGAATAAAGCATCAAAATCTGTTACAATAACGACATCGTCATATGCTCTACAGAATTTCACTCTCTCTAGAATCGATACTACCTGTCCGCAATGAACGATAAAACCTGTGGAACGATAACGGCAGTGGAACAATAGCTGTAGTACCGGTAGAACGGTAGCGGTAGTAACGGTAGTACCGGTTACGGTAAACCGGTAAACTACCGCCACCGTTGCATGCCTAATCATGAGAGATTACTGTAACTGCTTTCGCGTTTTACACAAACAAATTACAAGAAGCGATCGTTTTGTTGAAGACTCAATCTTTTACAGCAACTATATATAACTACAGGATAGTTGTGGTTTTAGTTAGCGTATTATCCTTTAGTTAAATCTAAGTACATTAACAGCAGCTTGAAATTTTGACATAATTTTATTATTCAGTTATTTTAATGTCGATGTTTCGATATTTCTCATATAGCATTTTCAAAATGCAAATGAATGTGTCTACATTACAAAAATAAAGAGAGAAAGTGAAGGAAGAAAGAAATACGCTGTACTACTAAATTATCTTTTCTTTTTAAAAGTTTGACAACTTCCACTATCACATAATCAAAACAGTCAAATATGCACATATTACTCTGCAATTCATTCAGTTACCATTTGCTAAAAACGCAACTAAAATTCTAGGCAAAAAGATTATTGATCTGGCAACAATTGATTGACCTAATCTTCAATCCCTCGTCCACCGCCATCTATTTCAAATTATTTTTTACAGAGAGATACAACTGAAACAGATCTTCATACTTATTCAGTATTTTTGGTTTCACGTTTGGACAGTGATGATACTTATATAGGTAAAACCATTAGACAAGTGTTAAGGATATTTTGAGAACATGGCACTCCACAAGAGCCTAAACTATCATCTACCCCATAATCAAGTCCAGTAATAACTACTGAGAAATAATCAAGAAAATCTGAGTGAAACAAAAATAAAATTAAGACAAGAAAAATTTAGAAGAGGATTATTCATTTGTGAATAAACACTAACTAATAAAAATCAGCACTCTATAAACATGAAACAGAAACTGAGCATGTTATTGATTGGAAATAATGGAAAATTATTTTAAAAAACTAAATGAAATATCGTCTATTAGTTCGCGAATCCTTACAAATTCCTGATAAGAAACCGACTCTTAATAGAATCGTATGTTCAATTCCTCTCATAGTTTATCCAGAAGGACTGCAACTTTCAAAACCAAAAATTAAAATCAAAATCGTTGACTAAATGATACACTATGTGATCACGATTTACACTCGAATATGTGCATATTTGAGTGTTTTGATTATGTGATAGTGGAAGTTGTCAAACTTTTAAAAAGAAAAGATAATTTAGTAGTACAGCGTATTTCTTTCTTTCTTCACTTTCTCTCTTTATGTTTGTAATGTAGACACATTCATTTGCATTTTGAAAATGCTTTCTATCTTGAAAATGCTATATGAGAAATATCGAAACATCGACATTAAAATAACTGAATAATAAAATTGTGTCAAAATTTCAAGCTGCTGTTAATGTACTTAGATTTAACTAAAGGATAATAGGCTAACTAAATACACTAATCTTTAGCCTTAATCTAAATGGAAGAAGATGCTGATGTGAGCAGCTGTCATTAAAATACTTTGTCAGAAGATACTTTTATGCTTTTGATCGCTAAAAATCGATTGTTTTCAAAAGAGATCGAAACAATTTCTTTAGATGGCAATGCTTATGGAATTTATAACTATTTTAGGTATAATGCGACGAATTTTAGTATGGCCATCTGAAATGATATGGCCTGCTAATTTACCATATATTGCTTTATTACGTACTATGCACGAACCAGAAAAACCTCTCACACCGAAATGGTTAAATTTATCTCGGAAAAAATTCTTCGTGATTATTTGTCTGGGTTCAATGGTGTATTATTGGCTTCCGGGATACATCATGCCCGTTTTGACAGCATTTTCTTGGATGTGCATGATAAATCCACGGCATGTGTTGCTTTCACAAGTAACGGGCAATGGTGGTTTTGGTTTTGGCGTATTTCAATTCGATTGGCTTACAATTAGATCCTCACTCGATTCACCAATTCTCTGTCCACGTTGGGCTCAGCTGAATATATTAGTTGGTTTTATTTTAACATGCTGGTTATTTATACCGATTCTGTATTTTACTAATACTTGGAATTGGAAATCATTTCCGATATCAAATGGAGGATTCTTTTCACCTCCTGGCAATCCAACTGATATTTATTTATCTGTTACATTTGTCATTGGATATAATCTTTTTTTAGCGTCGTTTGCTGCTTTAGTCACACATACTATTTTATATCATGGAAAATATATTGTAAAACAATTTAGCATGTCGTTAAAAAAACGTCAAAATGATGTTCATTGCCAGTTGATGGCACGCTATTCGGATGTACCTGAATGGGTTTATCTTGTCATTTTTTTATGCGCATTTATAATCGGTTGTGTGACTTGCCATTTTAGTCATTTAATGCCGTGGTATTATTTATTTTTAACTGTATCAATTTCATTCATTTGTTTATTATTAACTGGAATCGTTGCTGCAAAAACAAATATTGAAATTGATATTGTTACTATAGTCGTTCTTTTAGGTGGTGTTATTTTTAAATTAAAGCCATTGGCTAGTTTAACATTTGTAACATTTGCCTGGTCAACACAGAAACAAGCATTTATTCTTATTTCATATTTGAAATTTGGACATTATATGAAAATATCACCGAAAGTTATGTTAACAACTCAATTGATAATTACAATTTTAGCTGCAATTATAAAATATGGTATAACTGAGCATTTATTAAAGACAATTGAAGGATTGTGCACGTTCACTAACAGAGATTGGTCATGTCCACATATGAACCAGTTAGCTATTGTCTTTGCCAGTAATGATACAGGTATGCTAAAAAGCTTGTAAACGTCACTTTCTTAAGAAAAATTTGCTCCATGTCGAACTTTAACGACTTTTTCTGTCAATCACCTTTATCAACGGTGAAAAGTACTTTCTCTTATTCGACACACTAGATAACCTAATAGATTTTTCTATTTTGGACGAGGGGTACTGCTAAAAGTTCAGGACAAATTTTGAAACTCTTTTTATTTCCCATGGAAGTTCCTTTTTGCTATTATGTTTGAAAATTCTTCCTAAGAGCTTCTGACGGTACCCCATGGGGTACAAAAAAAACGTACAGCACAAAACCAAAAGGGTATTTATTTATCGTTCCAAACCCGAAAAGGGTTTATTTAACACATGAAAAACTAAAAAGCGTTTTGTAACCACTACAAAACGCTTTGGTTTCGTAC